CAAAACACAAATATTGTCTTTTCTTGAGTGATTCTGCACTTGCTTCCTTCACTTTAAAAATGATCCGGAGGAATTTCGCAATAAATGCTAATATTCGGGCTTGATTGAATGAGGAGGGCTTCGATTATGGGATCGATTTTGGTGATTGGAGGGTGGGGGGTATTTTGATTGGGACGGGGGATGCAAGATGTTGAGTCCGGAGGGCTGAATGAGGTATCCCGGCGTCTTGGTCTTTCGATTCCCAACGGCTTGAGTTAAGTCAAAGTTGAGCAACGGTGGGTATCGAAGAAGAGGCTCGCTGCGGCAGTTGGAGACAATAAAAAACCTACTCGTGGGGTTGCCGTCGTTGGAAGTGGGGGCCTGTGTTTGGCGTGGTCTCGGCTCAGAAATGCTCCAAATTTATTCCGGCGCCAACGTGCCAACCAAGCGAGGAATCATCCAAAAATAACTTCGGGTTCGCAACCTCCATCATCAACGTCCCAACAATCACCTCTCTTCCCCTCTTCCGCTTCATTGACGTATGCCGCATGCCAGCTCGTATTAAGCTCGAAAGCCAACAACACCCCTCAAACAATCGTATCTCTCGAAAAGAGGCATCTCCTGAAGTGAGACCGACCGGAAGGACACCTTGCCATCATACCAACGACTCCCTCGATGATCTGCAATAAAGCATAAGTGTGGAAGGCTCAATGTAAACCTCCAAGCGTAGGGGCTGCCGATATCTTGCCAATGTGCCAACCATGACCCCGGCAATACCGTTGCGCTAAGGTGCACCGAGCTCTTTCGAGACTGGAAGTTTTGGATCGACTTGCAGTATACTCGGGGGTACCGAACATGGGGCTGGGCAGGATGCTGGATTGAGCTGATATTGGATGCATACGTTTCTGCAAGATGCGATCGTCAAGTGGAGATACCCATTCGGTGATACGAGACAGAATCAGAGTATTATGAGCATTAGGTGAAGTTTAGTGGACAGGCATCTACACGTCCACGGGGAGCGGAGTGAGACCACCGTGCTGCCCATCTCTGCTTTGTCTTCTCTCAGCACATGGTACGATACAGTATGCCCTAGCACTGGTGGTAGGAAAATCAATCCCCTTACCAAACGTAGAGGCGAAAAGCTCCGATCAATTCTTGCGCTGAGTGGTGCGAATTGCGCGTTTCATGTCAAAACTTTCAAGTTAAACGATACTTTAATTCCGAAAAGACAGAATATCAAAACTTGGTCAATATGATAATTAATTTTCCTTCCAAGTAACACACTTTTAGTGTTGCAAATTACAAAGATAAGTTCTTGGTGTTCTTAAAACCCCCTGGCAGTAACAACCGGTGCCGTTACATCTGCTTTTCTTCAAGTTCGAGGTACAGAGACCATTCAGGCCCTATTGGGAGGTCATTGGCAGCTAGTGTTTACAAACTTTTCCCAGTTGAATACGGTATAGACACCTGCAAGTGGAGTTTCAGACTTCTTCCATCAATCTAAGATGCTGTACACATGCTTACATTTCCTCGGATATCATTTTCTGCACAGCCTGCTGTTGTGCAAGTATTGGTTCCTTTCTTGACGCCGCTTGAGAGGAGCATCATACATAGATCAGGGATCAAGATATTTCGCCCGACCTTGGCCATCGCAATTATCGGCTGCAAACAAAGCAACAACAAAATGCAGCTCGATCAGGTGATTGAACAAGGTTCAGCCGCCCAGAAGGGATGTTGGTGGCTGCGCTCAGTGTATTACACAATCAATTGTGGAATGGAGCTTCTTGTCACGAGACGTTCTCTATCACAATACCCTGAGCTAACAAATCATCAAGGGCTCACGGCTCTTCCTGGCAAGCAGACCATGCACAGGCGGGAGCAATCATTCCAGGGATAACTGGGGACTAATTACTTACTCGCTGCTACTCTTTGGTGGTGTTTCGCAATCTGGGATTGAGTCGCGCAAGAGGCGGATAAATTTCGCACAGCACAACCAATTTTTACAGATGGAACAAAATTTTCCAGTCTTTACCATATCTTGGAGCTAATTCAATTTCTTTTCTTGAAGCCTTTGATATTTGGTCGTTATTTTATATACTTGTATCAGCTCAACACTCTTCGTAGAGTTGTTTCTAAGTTTGTGAATTGGTCTGTTGCCCCATCTTAAACCTCTCATTAAACCCTGCTGTAGTTATGGCGAGAATGGCAATTTCCACAAGAGCTGCGAGGATCTAAGGTTTGTCAGCACCTTCGTTTTAAGCGTAATCTCGTACCAAACGTTTGTTTCCCGCACTTCAGCATACGCCGTGGAGAATGGAGTCGCCGCATTTTGCTAGAAATTGCCCAGAAATCGTAATCTTCTGGTAGAGAAGATGGCTCGTCCTGTGCTAGACCTCCCAAGTCTCTCCAGAAGCCAACATTCAGGATCGAGCCTCTTACAACTACTGTAAAGTCCATTTAGTGTTCATTTTCATTACATAATCCTTCGAGAAGGTCCACCAGGTCCCTTTCTCGAAGTCTATCACATGATCTACCCCTCCATCACGTCAATCGGCAGCGCTACCAGCCCCCTGTCGCGACACGCGAGTGGCGCTTGGCATTCCGAAGCATCAGGAGCGGCCAATGATCTTCGCTATCACACTGCATCTGCGGCTGACAGGGGCCCTACCCCACGTACAAGGCCAGTGACTCGCTGGCGGCAAAGCAAGCCAAATCTATGAATAGCTCTCTGCGCGCTATCGCCATCAGATGCTCACTGCTCCGGGACAATTTCTTCTGCAGGCGCTTGCTATTATCGGACGGGAATAACGCACGAGAAGCTAGAAAATGTATAACTGGGTTCCTGTCCTCTGGGCTCGAAAACCACGGCCCAAGTACGGACCTGGTACTCTTGGTAATTAATTGTTCGAGGCAGTATCCGGAATACCTTGCCACTCTTCACCATGTCTGATAAGCCAGTGCCCGATAAGCCGAGGAACATGGGATTATCACTTTTTCCTCCCGAGCCGAGAAAGACGACGAACGCGTCGAGGAACCCGAGTACTCGTCGACACGCAGTCACTCCTCAGTCACCTCCTGAATCCACAGTTGAAAGATCCGCCACGCCTGCATGGCCCTTGGATGAAAGACAATCTGCTCCTGATGGCCGACAGTCAGCGTTGGGAGATCGGCAAACCGCGCAACCTCGAGGCGTGTCTCCCGCTCCAAAAGATACACAACCACAATCCAGTTCAGGGCGTCAGACTCCCCAGAGCAGTCAACAGACTACCCTGAATGGCAGACAGACTCCCTCACAAGCCAATGCGAGCGCAGGACGGCAAACGCCACAATCCTCTCCTCCAAAAGGCCGACAGACTCCCCAAAGTGGCCGAGAGACCCCTCAGCAGGGACGACGACAAGCAGATCAAATCTCTCCCATCACCGTCCCTTCACAAGCTGTTGGCTTGTCGATACCACGCTCCCACACCTCCTTTTCCGAAGCCCCGACACTTGTGCGAAGAGACAGCAATGCGTCAAACACCGAACCCACGAATAATACCACCTATAACACTTTACCGCGAGAGGAGCCTATAATTCGATCAATATTCCCCACATACCATCCTGAGATCCCCCTTGAGCACCAACCATACTTCCCGACCCAGACGAGTCCCGCGCACATCCCCAAGACAGTCATCAACAGAAGACCATACTCTCCGAGTATCGTCAGCGGCAGGAGTGCTGCAGGTCTCCAAAGCCCTTTAGCTCTAGGGACTTCCGCAGGGCGCTTTCCCCGAGGAGTCCAAGATGAGACGATTATGGAACCATCAAGCTCGGAGGAGCTGAAGGAGCTATGGAAAGTCGTCAACGGCTGGAGAGTTTCCGCCTCAGAAGGCCGATCATTCTGCCTCCGAATGACCAGTGCTCTCGAAGAGCCGGTCCATACTCTCTCCTCCGCCTCACAACCGTTCTATACTCTCCGTCTCGACCCAACATCCACTTCCGCACAAATGACAATGACGCGTCAAGATCCCAACAAACCAATCAAGGAGAACGGGTCCCCGAAACTGCCCACATCCTCGAAACCAAACACTGGAGTGGACGTAATGAGCACTACACTTGAAGAGGAAGCTCGGCGCTTACCTCCTAACGATGGGCTAGTAGCGCTTCTCTACCCTCGGGCAGCATCGAATATGGCCATCGACCTCATCAACAAAGCGAACCGCGCAGACGCTGAGCAAGTCCTCGCAGCAGCAGAGCGGGAATGTGGGCGCTTGGTCTGGGACGAAGATAGCCGGAAATACTACCTCGTGCACCCCGCCCTCAGCACTCCCTTCGTCGTATCCATCTCTACATCACCCGCTTGGTCACGAGTGGAATACGTTCTCGAGCACTCTGAATTACCACGCAATCTCGTCCGCTTGGTACGAGATGGAGCTGGTTCGGGATATCTGGAGGTCGATACCGCCGTGGCCAGTCGAATTGACTGCTTCTACGTCGTTGATGTTGCAATTTGTGCCATCATGTTGGTAGTAATTGCAGAAGAGAAGAACAAAAACGTCGAATGGTTCGATGCTCCGCCTTCAGTCGGGCCAGCGTCTCCTCTATCGCCTAAGATACCCAAAAAGGCGAAGAAAGCTGAGAAGAAATCCGTGAAAATGGAGGAATTCGAAATGGACCTGGAGAGTCAGAATAGTGTGAGCTTGAAGAAAGAGAAAATTAAAAAGAAAGAGGGGGATGAGAAGGTCCCAGGATTCTTTGGTCTGTGCTGGATGCTGGTCAAGTGCTTCTTTTGGGTGATCGGGGTGTTTTTCAAGGGGCTGTGGAAGTGCATGGTTCTGATGGGTAAAGGCATGACCTATTGCTGTAGAAGCAAGAAACCATGATTCTCCTAAATTGGCGCTGGGAGCTGGAATGGGTTGGATTTCTCTTCCTCATATAATTTTCGCTGCAGATCTGAGAATGGTCTGGCGCTGGAACAAGAATTGGTCGTATAAAGCTCACCATGCAATTTTCGTCATGCTCTGAGGACCAATTAATAGCATTTATCTCTTGCGTTCTCGCACCTTGAATTTGACTCCTTGCTTTGTGACTCCTCCAACCGTTGGTGACTTCGCCATCTTCGCCCGCTGCAACTCCAACGCTTCTTCTGCATCCGTTAAAGCCTTTAATCTCTCCCTCGCAACTGTGAGTTTGGCTTCTAATTTGTCCGCCTCCTTTTCTTGCATCTTTCTCAGTCTTCTTGCCGCCTTGTCGTCTTCGTCTTGGTCCTCGTCCTCATCCATGTCGACATCTTCCAATTTCCGTCTCTGTTCCTCCTCGTCACCAACAAAAATCATCTTCTTTCCCTCTCCTTGAATGCCCTTACTCCTCTTCTCCAGCTCCTCGACCTCTTTAAGGGCCTTATTCCTCATCGTCCTCACATATCCCAAATCCTGCGTCTTGAACAACCTCGCGGCATTTTGACTCAACACCTCGTTCCCTCTATCCCCGTTGACCGTCCCGGTTCTGTTCTTTCCCATCGTAGCAGGTCCCTTCCGGGACATCATGCCAAAGTAGAATTCATCTGGGTTCTTGTCGAGGACTTTTTGCCGGAGGGCTTTGAGCTTCGATTTTTTCTGGTTGAAATCTCGAGCGCGGGCGGAGTAGTCCTGGGAGCTTTGTTAGCAGGAGAATTGATAGATACTGGAAGGGCATACCTTATGCTTCTCTAGCAGCCCCCATTTCGCTCGTTCTTCAGGCTGCCCACGCTCGCGGTGGTTCCGTCTTTGGACGGCATTTCGCATGGAAGACATTATGCGTTGCACTCAGAAGGTTGTGGGAAGAGGGAGTCGAGTGTCGAATTGGCTGGTTTCCGAATATTTTGAGGCCCGCTTGACTATTTGTGCGGTGCAATCGCCGGGTCGTGGTTATCTTGAAGTTGTGTGAAGAAAGATCGATAGCAGGACGAACTTTCTTCAGCCTCGAGAAATTTCGCGGCGCCACTCCGCCAGGGAAGCTAGTGCGCTAGCCCCAAAGCTTCGCCTCAGCCTCAAAACATCCGACTTCCTACATCTCCACCAGCCGTCAATATCTGGTGCTTCCTTGTGTGGTTATTTGATGGCAGCTATGGCACCTCCACCAGCAGAGGTGGAAGAAGTTCCACGCTTGCCTATGCCCTCACGGAATCCTCTCCCACTTTCCGCTGCACAAGAAGCTCAAGTTCGAGAGATGTATCATTCACGAGTGAGAAGTTACTGTGCTGCTGAGATAAAACGTCTGTATTCTCCATTGCGATTCTCATCCCTGTGCTGAATCTTGTTCATGTAGAATTCGCAGACTGCGCCCTGGGACGAACCTTCACCGCACCCTTCAAATGCCGGCAACAGAATCGCGCCATGAACAATTGTATGATTACCCACGCTACACAAACCGAACAAGATGCAGCGAGAGAAGAGTGGTTCGCGACGAGGTTAAAGAGACAGAGGGAGCGGGAAGCGAAAGAGGCGAGGAGGATAGAGCAGGAGAGGTTCCATAAGGAATGGTGGGGGTTGCCAATTGAGGATCGAGAAGGTGATAAGGGGAGGGATATTATGAAGAAAGCTGAGAGAGTGGGCGGGTTTCCGAAGAGGGATGAGGGCCAGCTGAGTAAGGATCGACATAGATGATATTCGTGGACCTTGGGATGGGCATCGCTGGGAGTTTGGGCATTTGCATGGTGTTCGGGAGACACTTGGGAAGTGTGTTTGTAAGTTAGGGTGTATGAGACTTGTGGAATCGCCTTTCTGGTCAGAGATGGCATTCGTCCTCTATCCATCCTCAATACTTACAAGAGCTTAGTGCCGGCTGCGTCTTGGCAATCCTTGAGGCCCGAGATTGAGACCAAATACTGTCAAGGCCTCCCAGTGGGCAAGGAAATTTTAAGGGAAACGCCAGTTCCCACAATTGAGCAGTCGAGGAACTCGCCATTGCTGGTAGAACAGTTTCATTCCTCGACTTGGCCGTATTCTTTTACTATTTCACCATTCTTATCTTCCGTTGACTCTTGCCTGATTGCCTGCTTTTGGTTGTTGCGGAATCAATTACCCTGCGTTGCGTTTGCGTTTGAAATTGAGACGAAATGCACGCGAAGATAGGTCCTATCTCCCTGCGACCCTGATTATGCTTTGCATTTAAGAAGGCGAGTGTTGAGGGATCCTTGTTGCAGAAGTGCAAGACGTTGGTTCGAACCCAACCGCCTCCACAACACGCGTACGACTTATTGTTTGTGCATCCGGATTGTGGGAAATGAAGCTTCTTATCTTGCAGCTGTTTTTTTGGGGCGGTTGTTCAAGCTAGGAAGTGTCAACTCGAGGACACCCTCTGCCGAAGTTTGGCTCGATTACTGGCAGTCTAATTTGATAATTCGAAATAAGAGATTTTGAGCTTAAATCAATTAGCCGGGGTCGTAGTTAAGTGGCTTAACATGCATGAAAAAGGATTAATCCTACTACTGCCTAGACGTCTCTGAAGCCGACTGGGAGTGGTAGGACTTCCCAAAAAGTGCAAGACGCTGGTTCGATTCCAGCCGATTCCAACTGTAGCCTGTCCTTTCCCCTCCTTTATTTACTTAGTATCGGTTCAAGGTTTCTTCTCTTATTTCATAACTCTATTAAAACTCGCTTATCAATTAGGACAGCCTCTCGATTCTGCAAACGAGGCTTTTTAGTGTCTCTTCGACTCATTGGCTTCTTCCGCTTTTACTCTTCTTGGGTCATGGCCATCTTTTCTAAATTAGCCTTACCACTCCAATCGTCATCTTGCCAGAATTGGTGAGCAATGGTAAGTAAAGTGCTACATGCTGTTGCCTGGCCGCTACTGCATCTTCCAAACACCGGCACTGAGTCTTCATCTTCTCGCAGTTGAGGAACACATGCTAATAGGCTTTCTCCAATAGCTCAATGATTCCAGACCAGTCTGAATCTGCCTCGATGGCTCCCACCGAAGCACCAAACACACCTACCACTCCCACCCTTCGACCTGAGATCCTCGATATCACGATCTCACTCTCCCCACCAATAGGACATGACATTACACCCCCCGCGACACCGGAGGGACATCCAACGTCTCTCTCTCCTGTCCCGCTACGCTACCCGGACACGTTGGGCACTGTCATCGAGATCCGAGACACCGAAGCAAAAGGTCTTGGAGTCTTCGCGCTACGCGATATAGAACCTGGCACTATTCTCCTCAGCGAGGCACCTCTTGTCACCCTCATCGACACCGGCTCACGTGCCGATCCCCTGGACATCGCAGTCAACGCGCTCTCGCCTCCCAAGAAAGCCTCATTTCTATCCCTCCATCACTTCTCACGCAACAAAAACGAATCCGTGAGTCGAAGCATCGTCTATAGCAACGGCTATTCCATCAAGGTTGACCTCGCAACGGGCGTCTTTGAGACAGCATCACGCATCAACCACTCGTGCGTCCCAAACTCGCATTATCTGTGGAAGGAGAGCATTGGCAGGATGGTATTCTGGAATCGATTTAAGTTGTTGGAGGGTGAAGAGGTCACAGTCGATTATGGACATAAGAAGAAGTATTTGGAGAAGATTTATGGATTTGAGTGTCAGTGTGGGGGATGCACTGATTCTGGTTCCGATGCGAGGAGCAGTAGTGGGAGCGAAAGTGGTGGGATTGAGGACATGAGGAGTCTGGACGCTGCCATTCACGAAAGTTTGGAGGGAAAGGACGGGAATTGAGTTGGGGATCAAATGTGCTTGCCCATCTAAATTAGCAAGGCACGAGAAACTTGCACCCCCGTTCTTTCCATTCAGGATGATTCCTGCACTTGGAGTACTGAAAAATTGGGCCTGAGATTGCAGTACAGTCCTTGCAAAACAGCTTCTAGCAGATGCCGAAGACTAACAACATCTGAAAGATAATTCACAAGTGAGACTTTCATCCCGAGATTGGGGATTGGTGAATTGTTTCGATCTCGGATTTTGAGTTTGCCCCGTTTCGCGAGACCACCAACCTCCCTGTTTGCTCTGTTTGCACTCCTCCTACTCTAATTGGTCTAGATATTGTGAGGCATTTCGTCGAATCTCTATTGTCTGCTATTGTCATCTCCTATCGTGTCATCATAATTGTCCCAATTTCTGTTATTGGAATTCACTGTTGTCCGACTTTTCAGAAAGCTATTGTGCTACCTACTCCCCCTTTCCCTATTGTCCCACCTCTATTGCACAATAGAGCTTCAAGAACTATTGTCCCGTCCAATCCTCCAGATGAGTATATAAATATTTGTTTCCTCCCATCCGCTCTCCCTTTCCTTCCTTTGGCATCATTCGAACGTTTACACGGACACTTTTCGTACCACCACTCTCTCCAAACTTCATTCACTCGTCCAAAGATGGATACCACCACTCTTGGTGCCTCGCCAGCACCCCCTTCTTCACCTTCCTCAACAACCTCCTACTCTTTCCCGGGACTGAAGAAAATCTGGGAGAAGAAGTTGAGAGACGAATCTGCCAAGAAAGCTGCTGGATCAGCAGCAACCTCCGCCTACGAACCAGTTATTGATACACAATTCGAATATTCGGGAGATAGCCGCTTGCCTGAAAAGTTTAGAAGAGAGCCTGGTATCCCACGGATGGTAGAGCTCGGTGTCATTCTACGCTATCAAAAGAAGTATTTGCACCATGCTCTCAATGACGCTAACTTCTCGGTGGAACTTCTCCTGGATCTTGTGCATCAAGCTCTCAATCCTCAACCCGGAGATGATCGTTGATTGAAGCAATGGGGAGGGTGGACTGCCTTCGTGGTGGAACCTCTTTCTTGTGGATTTTTTCCGTCACAACTACTATGTAAGTGTTTCTTGTGCAGAAAAAGTCAACCTTGCCTGATACTAACGAGCCCCAAGCACGCGGTCACGTTCTTGATCCAAATCTTCTTTCGACTCTTTGTTTTCAACGTGGTTACTACTTCAAGGTACGTCCATTACGGTTAGTTATTGAAATGTAGACTAACAGGCCTCAAGCATGCCGTTACGTTCTCGATCCGGACTTTTTTCGACTCTTTTTTTCCTTCAAAATGGCTGGTATTTCCAGGTACGTTCTTTGCAGTTAATTATTGAGATAGACGCTAACCCGTGTGAGAGACGCCCTTGTTTTCTCGATTTTTCGACTTTCTTTTCATGTGTACGACTACAACAATTTATAATTGCTTCCGTGTGCTGCTGCTGGTGGTGGATGGACGGATGGATTGTCGCCGGAGCGAAGAGAAAGTGGCGAGACGAACGAGAAGCAGCCAAGGCAAGCCCTCCGACCACCTCCTCAACCTCCCCAGAATCTCGTCCGGTGGCAACACCAGCCTCCAGACAAAAGCCCGGCCAAGGACTGAACGAGAACGACCCAATGGATTGGGAGGACGAAGAATGGGACATGATGGACACTAGGGACGACTACCCCTGGCTGGGAATGGTCGGGTCCTGCCAAGCTGCGTGGTAAGTTTTCCTCCCATCTCGAGACAAGAGAAGCAAGACTGACAACAACACAGGGTTTACGAGAAGATCATCTTCCCCAGCATGATCGCTGCTGGTATTCCTCGCGATCCATACGCCTATCCATTCGTCCGATGAGCACCACCACCACCACCAACTCTTCGGGGAGGATATTTTTTAATAATTTTTCATCCTGTACGTGGTCTTCTTGCCTGCACTCACTCTCGTCTTGTAAATAGTACGATTAGATGACACTATAGTCATCAAAACGAACCTAAATCGGTTGCACTGCAGCGAGAACACTAAGAAGGCGAGGGCTTCGCGAGTGGAAACGAGACCGTCGACCTTCAAATCGAACGGGCGGAAATTTTGATGTGTTTTGACTTACGAAGTGTTGCGAGAAGCGCACGTGATTTTGTTGAATTGGGGGGGTCATATGTATTGAAATAAGCATTTTTCGGGTACAGAATAGGGGGCATGGGGAGAGGAGAGGCGAATAGTTGGCACTGCGTGCCGGCGAAGGCTAAACCATGGTTTCTCGATTTCTTCGGCGGAATCCCAGCAAACCGGCCTCGAGGCATTACAACAATAATCAACTTTCCTTTTTTTTTGGCTTTTTTTGTGCCCTCGCTTGCTGGCATTGACTTGGGGTCGCTTTCGAAAATTTTGCGGAATTCGTTTATTTACTTCACTCCCCTATTCATCTCATGCTAAGCGAGATCGGACCAACACGCTAACATATCGACGTCGCGTCCTGTCAAAGCCTGTGTTCATTGAGCTGGCACAATAAACTTATTTCTCAATCGAAAGATCTTCTCGGAATGTCAATGAGCTTTGTTATGGATCAATAACGAATTAGATGTCTTTAACGTAAGGCGTGCGTAGACCGGATACGCAATATCAATTGTCGAAAAGTGCGCCTTCCCCTAGATTAGTATTTGCCCAGAAGAAACCACCATAACACCACAGACCAACAGCCGTCCCGAGCTTGAACATAGACACAAGTTCCGCATCACTCGCTCCCTCAACTTTCGGCTTAGAACCGCCAGGATATTCCTATACAGGTGGCGGGGTTGCAGTGTTGACTAGGGCAATACGATTTTACAGGGAGGCCCCCTGTGAGAAACAGTACATCCAAGCCCGCGGCAGTATTATTCACATGCAACAAACTTTTGAAGAAGCTTGTGGTGCTACCAAGTCTCCAGGGTCGGGGCTGGAACAGATGTGTATATAGTCAACCAGCATTACTATGGTTATTAAAGTTGGTGGGATGAAGCTGTAGATGAAGATCCTGTCAGGCGTTCCAAAACATGTCAGTCAACTTCCTCGATGCTATGCCGAAATCTAAGGGACGAACCAGCTCATTGAGTTATTCATTCGCAATACTTAATTAGCCATTGCGAGACAGTCATCGACGAGACAGGCGATGATGATACCATTGCAGCCATTCACTTGAAGTACGTCTCTGAGTGAAACATGCGAGGCGCAAACTTGGGAACGACCCCAGCATGCCGTGGCCATCGAGATTGTTGTGGCCCCGACTCTAGGAGGATTAAAGGCTCTGTCTCTGAAGATCTTGATGAATTGTTGTCGGTCAGCAGGTCTTCGACGTCGCCATCGCCGTCAGTCATTTCGAGCTTAAGATTCCGGCAGTTAGCCAACTCCTCCGATGCCTCGAGAGCTAGCTCAATGATCTTACTTATATCATCGTATAGACAGGATATAATTGCTCGCTAATTGACCACGATCCATGAAAGAAGGGGAAGGGAAGTTCGTTCAGATACCTCTCGGGCCTATGGCATGACCGCGTCCGCTATGGCCTTCTATGGATCGACAGGGACAAGATGCATCAATGCTTCCGCAAATGCAGGACGGGCGGTGCACCCTTATGGTTGTGGATGTTTTTTGGTAGCCTCGTCAGCTGGCCAAATTGCCACGTCGGACCCGGTACTATACCCGCGCTGGAAATTGTCGACGCAAGGACTGAAGAGGGCGAGCATAAACAAATGGTTGTGATGGTCACCCAGCTCACGATCAAGACCAAGCATCTGCCAGTCCTGGTTTTGGCTGAATTGGTTGACGAACGTCAGAAAAAGCTCGCCAGAGAGACCTGGATGGCATCACTCAACACCGACCGGCCAGGGAGCGTTCAAGAAGAGCTCCAAGGAAAATACTATGCCGTCTGCTCGTCAGTAACACCTGCGGTGATCGCTAGATGGGCGACGTTCGAAAGACTGCAACTTCCAGCTACCCAGAAGCCAGACAAGTCTGGAACGGCGGCCCTCGACGCGGCCACTGCATGCATACTAGTACACGTTGCGATAAGAAAGAATGTATGCGGGGTCCCCGGTGACTTCACCCTTGGTCATGATGTCTACGAGGTTCTCGTTCTAGAGCCCACAGGAAACAATTCGTTCAGGAGAATAGGTATGGGTATGGTCTTTGATAGGATCATGAAGGACTTTGAGCAAGAATAACCAAGCACTTTCCACCTGGAGTAAGCCGGCGTAATTTTTTGTATCTGGGAAGGCAGGGAGGATGGGGCCTCAACAACGTAGTTGGTAACGTGGCACGGGCAATGAGTCTAAGTCCGCTCGCCCGCACCTTGCACTCTACCATCCAGCACCTCATCGGTCTTCTCTTTCCCATGAATATTTCGTTATACTCCACATCGCAGATCAACCAAGCAAGCCACAAAAATGCAAAGACTTCGAAAATGCGATCGCTCAACCAAGGATAATTATATAGCGGTATTTGACACTTCAACGGCCATTACCAAGCGCAGAGTAGGGATTTAGATATGGAAATATCAAGCATAAAGAGACACATATTAGTGGAAGGGAGTTAAGTTCGGGAAGTTTGCTTGTCGGCACTAACCCGGGATCAAGCCTGGGCCCTGCGGGATGTAATAAATGATAGGTTGCAAGAGGGATCGAAGAGAAGGTATCTGTAATTCATCAGGGAAACACACTCGTAACCAGGTGCTCGACCGATCGATATATCCGTCTCGCGGCCAAATCTTTACCGACACCTGCAATGCCCGATGACACCCATGAACGCCGTCGAATTACTCCAGTTTATCCTCCACCAACAGGCCCCTGCTTCTTCAACTGCATCCGTCTGAGTTGAAGATGCATACTCCTCGCATCATACGATCTTGTCTTCGGATCCCAAGCAGCCTTCACATCGAAGACTAACCAGGCTTTCGGCGAGTCCAATTCCACCAATCCGGACACTAAAATACTTCCTTTCGGTGGGTAGTTCGGTGCAGGCCGCCAGGTTTGGGCCATTTTGGCCTTGAATGCCATGATGGCACGGAAGAAATGTCCGTGAAAAGCCATCGCAGCAGCTGAGATTTCCATTTCGTTTTCGTTTTCTTTTTTCCCGGTAACAGTGGATTTCTCGGCTGGTGTGGCTGCAGTGATCGCCTTCGTGGCATCACCAGCAGGTTGAGGTAGTGCTGGAGGGCCATCCTTTGATGGGATCTGAGACCCTTTCATGAGTTGTTGGTGTCGAGCAAGCAATTGCTCGAGTGAAGGCGGTGGTGGACTAGATCTAATTCCGAGTATCCCTGCGATTCTTTTTACATCGTCGACAATCATGACTTTGGTGAAGCTCCAAAACGATTTGATCAACGCCGATGGCCACAAAGCTTGACGGAGTCTGAACACGGTGAGGGAGTCGACAGGCTGTGTTCCCCAGGTAATATAATCGTCGCCAACTTCTATCCCCGATCGCTCAAACTCGGGAGGGGCATGTTGAGGGAAATCAACATCCAGCCAATACCGCCTTAACTTCATCTGTTTTCCACACCGTATTGCTAGAACTGGATGCCGAAGCGCAACTTGCTGAACATAGTTTGCAAGTTCCTCTGCATTGTGTCAACATGGCCCAGATGCTAGGAAGCCTTCACTAACCTCTGACTCTTTGTGCAAGTTTCTGGTCCTTGCTGAATTTAATAAACTCCTGCCATTCTGGATCGCTTCCACGATATGGCTTTGGCTTCAGCTGTTTCGTAGTCCCTGGAAATGGAATAAACATCGGCTTGTGATCTTCCTCTGTAAGTTCTTCGGGGATATCCTTCATCGCTTCAACGGCAGCACGCTCCAACGGATCAAGCACAACCTTGGAGTAGATGTGATAGCAGACATATACGGCGATGGCAGTTGTAGCGACGGTCCTTGAGGAGAATTTAGCATTTCTTCACGGGTTTGATCATCGTATTGACATACCTGAAGCGGATACGTGGTTTCCGGAACTGGACTCTCTGCACCTGTGAGATCTGGCCCCTCTGTTGCTGCGCTTCCAGTTTCAGCGGCAGTCTACTCATCGAGAAGATGCTCCTTCTCGGTCTGATAAATCGGAACATGATCGGAGGTTGTCCAGGCTCGCCAGCAAGGCGAGCCTTGGATGGGCGTTGGTGGCTCTGTTGGGATGAGCGTGGTTTATACTCTATCGCAGGAGGATATCAATGCGTCGACATGCGGCCGATGGCTCCTAAACTCATAGATATTGTCGCTGAGATTATCCTCGAGGTCGTGGTTCCGGCTCATACATTTTGGGCGGCGACCGGCAGAGTGACCCTTTAGGAAGGCGGTAACCGAGAATAGACTTGCGGCTTCACATCCCGTCAAGCTCAAGCTTCACAGGCAGCAGAGCAAATCCACAACAGTGACGATGAAGCTCTCAACAAGCTTGCTACTGCCAGCCATTGTTGGCGCAGCAGCTGCTTCGTCGGATGCGAGTGTCTACATTTTCCAGCGGGACGAATTGCCCAGGTCCTCGAATCCCCCAACCCTGACCCCGGAGCAGGCAAGATTGGTCTTCGCACAACGGTTAGCCACCTCACAGTATCATGGATTGGGAGATGCGAGCGAATCCACATTATCGTATATCAACAGCTTCGGTGGCCGAAGAGGGTCGTTCTTTGAGGATGCTGCAAACGATACGCCGGCAGAGCTGGTGTTGATTGTGGAGGGTGTATCTTCAAAGACGGCACAACCTCTGATTGATGAGTTGTCAACCATAAAGCCTGCTTTTGCTATTTCAAAAGCACCATCGATGACTGCGAACAAGGAGTTGGTGTCGGATATCAACCAGCAATGTGGACAGGGGAAGAAGAAGTGTGCACTGCAGGACGCTATCAACCCGTTCGATGTGTCCTGCTGGAATGGAAATTTAAAGATTATCCACTTTGACTTAATCAAGGAGAAGGTTAGAATTCTGCACAATAGAAGCCCTATATTTGCTAACAAATCTTCAGAACGGTATCGCGGAGTTGATGTCTGCCAAGGAAAGATTAATTCGATTTGCCAACAAAGGAGAGATGAATGTGGTTGTGGTTCTCATGCCAGAGTCAGCGAGATCAGCCAAGAGCCCATCGAACCCATACGGAAGATACGAAAAAGTCTCGCAGAGTCCAATTGGCCGCAGACAGACTGAGGAGCCGATGATCGATGGTGTTTTCACCCCTCCTGCTTCCCGCAACAAACAAGTCATGGCCTCGAACTCATCGGACAACTCGACTGTTGAGCCTGCTGAGCCCATTACTGGTGTTCCCCCGCTCTGTCACTCCTCTCACGATGCTTGCGTATCAGCTACAAACAACTGTTCGGGTCATGGAGCGTGCTACAAGAAGTATGGGAATGCAAAAGATGTGGGAGATGCTCCAAGCGCATGTTTTACCTGCGGTTGCACGCCGACAAACAATTCCTTCACCTACGCAGGTGGTAAAAAGAAGGGCTTTACACTTGAATACTGGGGTGGATCGGCTTGCCAGAAGAAAGATGTCAGTAGCCCATTCTGGCTGATTACCATCTTTAGTGTGGTTATGATTGGTGTTGTTGGCTGGGCAATTGGCTTGCTTTTCAGCATTGGAGAAGAGAAGCTTCCTGGAGTGATTGGTGCTGGTGTTTCAAGCAAGACGAGATAAGTGAGATGTGTCTGTTGTATGATTTTGACGGAATGGGCTCGTTTCCGTGAGCTTTGCTCTGCGACGGTGGACGGCGTTTAGAAGATTGTACTTATTTTAGGCTTGATGCATGTATAGAAGCGGAATAGGGTCAATGGTATTTTGAGTGTTGCTGATGAGCAGACCAACATAATCGTTCCACAGGCCTCATTTGGATTCTGAATCTGTGGACAACGAAAGCTTTGGGGAGCACGTGGCCACCACCAATAACCCCCTTTCCCACATAGCTATCGCCCTCTCACTCGTCGACGAACACGATGTAATTTCGCCCATGATTAACAAAAATTCCAAATCTCTCTCTAATAGTCACAATCTGGAACGGTATCAGATGCCAAGTAAAGCGGATAAGTCGGTCCAAGCAAGCTTTCCACAATCAACAGACCACACCCCCTTCCCGCGCGCACCCACATCCCCTCAAAGCCAGCATTGGTCAATCCATACGCACAGAGAAGTGCAAGTGCAACTCGCAACTCTACTTCCGCGGTTAATGTGTTCTAGACTTCTAGAAGTTCGTCGAGGAACGGTCTAAAAAGTGCTTGCGACTTTGACGTCACTGGCCGAGGGTCTCGACGTCCCGCTGCACCCGACTCAGGGCATGTTATGATACACACATGCATCCTCCTTTGCTTCATTGTCTTTATGCATTTTCTCTACCAGATCACTTTCTATCATCTACTTTTCATTATACTTGGCGTTTCCCGGATTCACAATTGTATTTTGATACTGGGGATTCCATCTTCATAACACTACCACAACCATCTAGGCCCCGTCCAGAACCAGCCCTTAACAACCTGGAAGCGTGCTAGAAGCCCTCAAAATGGCAACCTCGTCCACCCCCAACAAACCAGACACTGTCCCCACCTCCGCCAAACAACCTAAATCCCGGCCCCCCTCCGGAATCAGAGAACACATCCTCCGGACTCCCTTGCCCTACTACTCCGGTCCCTACAGCGTTGGAGTAATGGACATCGAAGTGCCCGCTCGCCAACCACGATACTTCTCCGAGATCAAAAGATATCACAGGCATCTCCTCGAGCTCGAGACGGTGCTGTTTTCCGTGTTCTATCCGTCGGGATTTGGGAGCGGACACGGCAAGGGTCCAGGAGGGGAGAAGAAATGGAGTCGGCCGACTTGGTTACCAAGGCCGAGGATCGAGGTTGCGAAGGGGTATGGGAAGTTTGCGGGGATTCCTTCCTGGCCTATTGTTGGATGGTTTGGTGGGTTTTCTAAGCGGGATGTGGAAAGGGGAAGAATTGACAGTTTGTAGGTTTAACGACGGCCTTTACCAAGATTCCGGCTTTTCGGAACGCGAAGCTGGCTGAACATTGGCCTCCTGATAAGAATTCTAGGGAAGGCGGGTATGAGACGAAGAATAGTGCCGGGACGCCTCCTCCTGGCGAGCCTGAGAAACCTTGTTTTCCACTTCTAATTTTCAGCCATGGGCTTGGAGGGACGAGAACGACGTACAGTTCTGTTTGTGGGGAGTTCGCCAGCTACGGATTTGTGGTGGTGAGCATAGAGCATAGAGATGGGAGCGGACCGAGGACCTTCATAAATCTGCCTGAAAGGGGGGTGGATCAGGCCACTGGAGATACGGATGTCAGTGACGAAGATCGGAAGAAGGGGTATTCGAGGATGGACTATGTGTTTCCCAAGGACAACGCGAAGGATACTATGCCTGGCAACAAACAAGGGGTTGACGCTCAACTGCGATCTGCTCAGATACAATTGCGACTGGCTGAGATCGAGGAAGCCTACCATGTCATGACACTTATCCATGATGGCAAAGGGGAGGTTGTTGAAAGGGGAAATTTACGGGACCAGGATGAAGGAAGAGTGGGTGGCAGTTCGAGAGGACTGAAAGGAATTGATTGGGAATCTTGGAAGGGTCGTTTCCATCTGCAACAAGTGACAATGCTTGGACACTCGTTCGGGGCTGCGACCACTGTCGAAGTCCTCCGACACAAACACCGATTCCAATACATTGGCCAGGGCATTATATACGACATATGGGGAGCTGCCATCCAGCCTCCAGAGGACGAGCCAGATCGTCGAATCAGTACACCATTACTTGGTATCAATTCAGAAGCGTTCATGTATTGGCCCGATAACTTCGAGTCAGTAATGGCGCTTTGTCGCGAAGTGAAAGAGCAAGACCAGCTGGCCTGGCTCATGACTGTTCGGGGGTCTGTCCACATCTCACAGTCCGATTTTTCAATACTGTACCCTTGGATAGCCAGCGTCTTGCTCAAAATGACAGTCAATCCACGACGAGCCATTGATTTGAACCTCAATGCTTCCCTCGAATTTTTGAAACAGGTCATGGTAGGTAGAGGGAGAAACCACTGTTTCCCTTTCTGACAGTCTCACGATGTCTCTCCCGGACAGCGTCCTGGTTCTCCCGAAGCATCTGTGCCGAGCTATTGCTGACTTTCCTGTTTCCCAGCCTGCTCGAATCTCGAAAATGAATCGTGGCACCAACGAGCATCTCCTTGAAGTTAGCACCTTGGATAAATTGCCCACAGAGCATCGCCCGGCTGACAAGTGGACTGCGGTCAGACTTCATATCCCGCATGAGTTGCGCATCCGCTTGACGCCTCAATTTTTCCGAAGATATACAAGGAACAAGGAGCGGCGCGATGCCGAGAAAAGACTTCCGAGAGATCCAAGAGGCAATGTGCTGGAAGGACTGGAAGATTTGGGGCTTGGCGAGGAAATCTGGATGCACGTTGCGCCAACGAAAGAAGAGCTCTTGAGACACGGGCTCAAGCCCAGCAAAGGATTGGAGACAAACCAGTCCAACGGCATGGTGGAGGTCAGTGGACGAGAGGGAAGAAGGAGAAGCGCCCATAGAGGCATCGAACAGAAATACATGGAGCGCGGCTGATTGAACTTGTGCGGAGAGCGTGCATTAGTGGAGTCCATGAAGGAGGCCCCCCTTCCGTTCAGACCGTCATACGATCTCATGTCCATGGCGAGAAATCGTAGCAGTAGCCCAGAATGGGGCCCTATAATTGATGTGTTAAGCAAAGAACGGTGGCTTCAGTCCCGAGAACGCCTCTAGGAGTGCTTCTCAGCTTTGATGCATGCTGTGAATGTTGGCACTGAGACTATGATTGGGCTTTGCCCCTGGGCGAACGGAGGCGAATATTCCCCCAACCTCGTGATTTCAGATCTCGAACACGAGAAACATGGCGACTCGCTTGCTCGAGCAGAGTCGTCCCATCCAGAGTTGGGCTTGCGATGAAGCTGCTTGTGCTAGCCTCAAACTCTGAGATCAGACAGTGAATGTTCGCGATGCTGGCCCGAAGAATGGAAGATGTTTTCGCTGCGTTTCAGTCATAAAACTAGGAATAAAACTAAGACCGCGTGATGGGGGATTTGTTTCTCCACACAGCCTCGGCCCGCCTCTGGTGCCGTACTGACGATGGGAGAGCCGTCCCGATGATTGATGCCACCGGGCTGGGTGTTGATCTGCGATGGGAATATCCTTGGAGGTTTGGAGCAAAAGCTGGTGCGCTGTACCTTGGCGTCTTTTGGCGTGAGCGCTGCGTTCCCTCCGTTCGAATTGCCTCCCGACACGAACTGCCAAAAGGAAATCCCGTCGACTCCAGAGCTGATCGACATGACAGGTACGAAGCAGCGAGCAGCAAGATGTGCGGCGAAGAATTGGCGATTCCCTCATACCCCCTGAGCCCTTGGCGGGTGATTGGACTGGGGAAAGGAGTTATCGAATTTGAGATGATCGTGGAGATGGCGGCTGGCACGACTCGGCAAGCTGGAGAGGGTGATGGTCAGGGTGAGGGTCTGTCTGGTGCAAATTGCAAATCGTAGACGATCTGGACATCTGGTGCAATGCAATCCATGCCGAAGATCGTCACCGCCGTCAGAGCAGAGCTCGGGCGTCAGCCAGGGGTTGACCGCTGAAAATAGCATCGTGGTCTGTTTCTCTGTCCTGTTCTGTTCGTGCCGTTCCATTCTGGTGCCCACGCGCGCAAACGAACGAGGCCGTGAGCCTTAAACGACCCTGGTGCTGCACGCCCTGGAGCGCCAAAACGTCCCAAAGGACATGCTTTACTCCGTCTTCTCGTGCATGGCGGTGTCCTCGCGTGGTCTGGTGTCCTCTAGTGCCCTCTCTACCCTCTCTACCCTCTCTACCCTCTCTGCCCTCTCTGCCTTCTCTGCCCTCTCACCTCAGCCACCTGGGGCGTGTTCGTCCTCCTGCAGCTGGCTCGCATCTGCAGGCCAGTCAGTTGGCCTTCCCTCGCCACCTTTCGCGTCTGCCAAGACACCAAACACCTGTTTAACAGCTGCCCATGTGCTGTGCTGGCCGCCTCGCCTCGACCTGTGCGAAGTCTAGTCTGCAGCAGCAGGGAGCGTATTCCGATGCTCCGTTGTTGGGGGGAGGGGGCGCGCGGGGCACGGAGAGGTTCGCAGCGTCTTTCTTTGTGTGTCACTCTGGGGCAGCAGTAGTAGCAGCAGCAGCAGCAGCCAGCGGGACTGAGTCGCAGCTCGGTTCTGCAACTAGTACGGCACCGTATGTCCAAACGGACGTACAGTAGCAGCTCTTGCTCAAATCCCCGCCCAATCTATTTTGTTCTTTCTTTTATTTTCTCATTCCTGACTTCGCTTTCATCAGCATCATCAGCATCATTCACTTTCCGCTTTTCCTTTTCTTGCCTTGCCTCTGATGCTGAGCCCCGCCTCGAGCTACAGTACTTGAGGCCGCAACCTCCACAATCTTTTTATTTCAAATACACGCCCATCCCACGCTTCTAGACTTTTTTAGGAGCTCGAACTTGTACACTGGCAGATCTTGCCGGTCGTGCGAACATCGTGGATGACGCCGCCGCTTTCCAGGGCATTCAGTTGCTCTTGATGATCTCCGCGCCACTCCATAGTATGCTGGCGCTGCCAATACTCTGAATATGGGTTCGACCGACCGAAATGGCCGGCCCGAGCAGCTCCTCTCGCGCCGAAACACTTTCCAGCGGATGCTCGACTTGGAGAAGAGAAACAAGGTGCGCCTCCCGTCCTCTCCTGCCAAATCACAAGAAGCAATTATGCCACCCGTCTTGCCAACATTGGGTCTCGGCTGACAACTCCCCTATGCAGGTGAACCGAATGCAAGCCTCAGCCACAGCAACAGCAACAGGTTTTCCCCCAGCGCGTACAAGTACACCGCAAGGCCGAGATTCGAGTCACAATCAGCATCAACAGCTCGAATTGCGGCCGGCGATGCTAAAGCCAACGGGGAGAGCAATGACCACTCCAGCCTTGTCTCTCGCAATTCCTCCCCCGAAAGTCTCCTTCGGCGGGACCACAACGACGAAATACATCATAAGGTCTGATGGAGATGCCGTGCCCCAGGAGGAGGAGGAGACTGAGGAGGACTCTGACGCCTCGTCAATATGCCACTCACCCGGATGGGAAGATGCCGCCAGCAAGAAACGAAGGAAGGAGAAGCGGGAAGCAAGAGAGCGGAGGAAGAAGGAGAAAGCCAAGGTTGAAGCTGCCGCCGCCAAGCAGGATCAAAAGGGCAAGAGTCGACTCAGCAAAGCCCAACCAACGACCGACAAACGACTTAGTAAGATTGCGGCAGTTTCGGTGGATCGGTCAACATCTGAACCTGCTGTGCCAGTAGTTCAACCGCCACCGGCGGTACAGGAAGTAAAGAAGGAAACTAAGAAAGCTACCGAGGGCCGCGCGAGAAGGGGGAGCGTGGACATTGGGATAAAGGGCCTTAAACAGGTCAAGAATGCTATTCCGGTACCCTGGAAGTCCTCCAATGGGACTCCAGTTCAGATCACCCAGACACAAGAGACTGCCTCCCCACGAACATCCTTATCAAAGGGCGCTGGGGCATTCATTGGTGGGTTGAAGCTTAGGCAAGCTGACGAGTCCGCGATCCAGGAAACTATTCGAAGGGTCAAAAATACTTCTGATGATGACGCAAGGGGTCTCCTAGACAGTGACAGGGACTTGACGAAAAGAGGTCCCGGGAATTCCAGCAGCAGTACGTCAATTGCGGAATCGTACAGGCCGGTTTCTATCTATGAAGAGTCGATCCGGTCTCCGGAGCAATGGGACTCGATATACGCCCAAGCGGCTGTGCTGGCCAGGAACAATGGAGCTACTCCTAAGGACGACGATGACAAGACTCCTATCATGGAGAGGAACATACGGAAGAGCCGAAAAACCCATCCGCCAACATCGAGATATTTTCCATTGGCAATTGATCCCGACTCGAGCTCGTCTATAAGAGAGACTTCAGCTGGAAGTACATCGCGAACGTCCATCAGGTCGAGCCAACATAGCGGGGAAGCTCAGGGCCGTCGAGAATCGAATGTCTCGTCGGGCCAGTCCGGTAATACTCGAGACGCTTCTGCAGATAAGCCTGAGGTGAACGAGTCGAATCGGGGCAGGGCAAGCAGTAGTTATGTTCGCCATCAACGCCGACAAAGCGAGGACCAGGCTGCAGCCGTGATCCAGGATCGAGACAAAGTCTCAGAAGCGATGACCAACACCGAGACTGAAGATAGAACCAATTCGTTTCAAAGGTCTCGAAGTCGACTTCGAAGCCTGACAGATAGTATCCAATCCACTGCTAGGCCACCTTCCGGAGATAGCGCCAAGAAAGCGAGTGAGACAAAGTCCGTTCAGTCCTCCCGTGGTGAAAAGTACAAAGCCCCTCCACTATCGCATAGGTCCCCCACAGATGGGAGTTTCAAGCATGAACGAAAACGTTCAAGGTCACGCTCGGCTGTGCGAGGCTTGATAGATCTCAAGAATGCCACCATGGCTGCTTTCTCGAGGCAACCAGCCTCCCAAAATTCGCCAACTGATAGCTTTGTAAGTGCTGCTGAGGTACAAAACTCAACACCACAGAGAGCTCAGTTGGCGCAACGCGCAGCGACTACTGGAGTGATTGACGAGAAACTCAGCAAGGCCGAACGTATTCTCGCGGAAAATTTCACCAGTTCGCCTGTTGTGCACGATTTCGCAATGCAGAACCCTCCCAGCGAGCACCCTCCAGGCCAAGTATCGAACATTGGGATGCCCCATCGCCAGGCAAAAGTTAGAGGACACCATGGCCGAGCTACGCATTCGAGGTCTACCACAGGTTCAAGCGAGGATTACTCGGTCTACGATCAGTCTTCAAGTATTACAACACCGACTGCTTCCAGACCACAGTCTCACAAGGATTATTCCCTCTCAACTCAGCAGCTCAATTCGAAAGGTGGAAATAAAGACGGGGAAAAATTGGCGCAGAATGGATTTGCTATGATGTCTGGTGGCCTTCTCGATGATGGGGCGAGTGGACGTGAAAGTTGGTGCAGAACAGCGATGCCAATGGAACTGACCGAGGACGACACCTCCATGAAAACTCCGACAGCCAAGCGATCCGCTACGGACTTCACGGCTTCCCAACCAGAATTGCCCAGACCGTCCAGAACTGACCCGTCCAGTTCCTCGAGTTTGAAGCGTGAGCCCAGCCTCTCTCGATCCATCTCAACTCCTGAAATGCAAGATCTTTCCTTCCTTCCCACACTCAAACACCAATCGCTTGCCCGCCCCTTGAAAGGAAAAGGCAAGGGAGTTGTTGGCAAAAAAGGAAAACAAGCGTCTGTCTCTAAAGAACAAGAAAGCCACTCTCCCACAGGCCTCGTCAGACCTTCGCCCATCCCTATCTCCGACTCAATCACAAAATCCGAAGGCTCATCCCCGACCTCTCCGCATTCTTCCCAGTACCTACAAAATGCTCGCCTCAACATTCCCCGTGGCTCTCGCTCGCCGATGAAGTCCGCATTCCCACCAGCACACCTCCCCCTTCCACAAACGGGAGGTACGGAGCCGATTGCTAAGATGTTCGTGATATGCTGCTCTTGCAAGTACTTCCATGACATGCCGAGCAAGGTTTATGAGTGTATGGCGAACCCGGATAATATTGTCAAAGACACCAGCCTCGGAGTTAGTGGCGTGATTAGTACGAGTGTGAAGTGTCCTTGGTGTGGGCATGGAATGAGTACTAGTTGTTGTGCCGGTTATGCTTCTGTGGTGTTTCTCAGAGAACGGTTACATTAGGTATTTGGAACGTTTTAATTTTTGGAGTTTAATGGACAACAATTCACTGCAAGGCCAACGAGATTGGATTGCACTCTAGATGGATATGGTAACATGCGAGCATGGATCTATATGGGATCGAAGGCGTACTGGGAGAGCAAAATAAAGGCCCGATATACGAGTCACGTTAGAGTATAATGAAAACACGCAATTTAATTCGATTGAATTTCAGACTCTCCGGAAGCAAAAGGCTCTGCAGTACTTGCATCGAAACTGCTATCAAACGAGAATCACCGTTCCAGCACTGACAACTGTAACCTCACCTCCTCCTTCAATACATCCCGCCAACATGCGGTACCCCAAGTCTATCCTCCCCATTATCCCCAGGCTTCTCTCCAAGCCAATCCAAATAAGCAATCCACCCCTTCTCATGCCACTCCCTCAAATCCAGCCCCTCCTGTCTTGCGTCCAACGTCGCAGCATTAACACTCAAATACCCATTGTCCGTCCCCTCCACCCACGGCTCCTTCGGTGCCCAAACATTCACCTTCTCCCCCTCAATCTCAACCTCCTTCACCTGCGACTCCCCCGTAAACGTAAAACACCGAACCCCACACTTCGGGCAGAAATACCAGTGTACCCGCGCTGCAAAGCACTTATAATCGCTCAACTCCTTCTGCGGATCGAGAGGGGAGAGGAGGCGGAAGTCGTTCACGGGGTCCGGGACGCGGACGTGGAAGAAGGACATCTTGTGGCAGGTCGTGCAGTTGCACTTTCGCAGGCGCGGCGTCTCGTTCGTGGGTGGCTTGGCGGAGATGATTGGCGGAGGCAGCGTGAGGTAGATTTGGTATTTTTGGAAGCCGCAGTGGCAGGAGCCGTTGTACAGGCGGCGGGTTGGTGGGGGAGCTTGGGAAGACATCGTGGCGGTGGGGCCGGTTGTGGGTGTTGGAGGAGACAAGAGAGGACTTGAGGTTGTTGCTTGGGTTGTGTTTGAGTGGTGCAAATGAGTGATTTCTGAATTGCGGTCCGGAGGTCTCAGGGGGAGATGTGAAGACAGAAAGGAGCAGACTTGTTTTGTGAAAGAAAGAGGAGGGGTAGTCTGCGTTATTTATCTTCCATGCTTACATCAGGATCAGCATTGCATGACACGCATTGGGTGCATTACATGACACCCAGCCAATAGTGAAGCCTGCACATTTGCTTTTATGTATATCCTCACTTGCCGAGCTTCTGCCTGCAGCAGGGCGCGAAAGGCGTGGGATATCTTGGCAAAAGTGGGAGAGGGAAGGATAACCCCACTTCGCGGTGCACGAAGGCACGTGACGAAATGATGAGCCGAACCTTTCTTCTCTCAATTCAGCTTTCTCCCAGCTCCAAATTCGAAAGTGTTAAGAAAACACCTACCAATTGGGCTGTGGACATCAAGCGGAGATAACACCCAACTCTAAAAGTCTCCGAGTCCCATGGCTGTTGTCAAATTATGCCGCCTTGACTCTCTCCGCATCCGCCAAGCATCTTCATTCTTTCCGCGACTTCAGGGATCTTTACAAATTTCATATATGTCTAAAAAATTCAGAACCAGGTTGGGGCTAGAGTAATGGCCATCAAATCCTCAAAACATCCCATGGCCGATGCCTTGTCGGTCGGAGCGAGTCCTTCAATGGGAACGACGCAACAAAAGCTCATGCCCTAGTCATCGGAAGTATGGGAATTAGGATGTCTTAACTCATGGGTAACTTAAATCGACTCGATATTGCGGTGTTACTTCTACAATATCGCTTTCTATTTTCCTGGGCCCTGCCTCTAGAAATCGGAAGTCATAGATCTTCCGCAGCTTAGGGGTTCTTTTCTTAAGCGAGCGAGATCTCGGCAATTCAGGGGTTGGCTCAGGGGCTCGTTTAGCCGGCTGACAACTCATCGTCATGTTTACAATGGCCCAGGGTTCCTTTCCCTCCATTCGTTCTCAGTTCAGTATGACCCACCTTGAATTGAATCAAATTGTCTCCCAGATCCGCTGTGATTCGTCTTCAATAGCCATTGGTTCAAAAAGGCCCTTGTTGCTTACGTCGGCTGACTATTTTCATCAGAAGCGGCATTTCAACGTACTCTCCACCTCATCGTTTACTCTGTTCGGCCGCTTGGTTTTGCGGTCCACTTTTCTCCTTTCGAAGGACCTTAATTTTTAACTTATGTCTCTCCATCTTGTCTTGCTCGCCGCCGCCGCCTTTCAGGCTTTTCGCTCGTTCTTGAACTGGAGTACTTCGTAGGCTCAGCTCTGCCCCAGGTCCTTTCCTGGCTGCGATAACAGATATTTGGCGTGCTTATTATCAGTACGATTGCCTTCTCCAATAGAAGTTCCTGTAGTTCCATGAGGAGCAGGACCTATTGTGCGATACGGGATCAACAGTATCAGGATCAGTGATCCGAGTGCAATCAGTGTCATTTATGGGTCTCGGACAGGTTTCGTGAATGTAATAATTCACCAATCCGATAGAAGCAGATCAAGAGTTAATGGAAAGACATGGACAGACTCGTACCCCTTCGTCCGCTGAGACATTGCCAGGCGCTAGCAAGGAGCCTGGCTCAGGGCGAAAAGGAATAGATGACTAATAATTTTATAAGGAAAAGTACGCCTGCACAGTCTGAGCCAGGCCCCCTTGCTAGCGCCTGGCAATGTCTCAGCGGACGAAGGGATAAGACCAGGCCGATGCCTCTCGGGGGTGTGCAGACAACTTTACGGTCGTTTTCTAAAGAAGCGGTGGCCATTCAGTACGAAGATTGCGGCATAAAGTGACGGGATTACAGGGCATTTGTATCGCAAGTCCACTTTCAGGCCACTTTCTACTACACTCACCCACTAAAGTCCCCTATATTTCCAGGCTACCCTCCTGTAAGCACGCTATAAACTATAAACAAGGGGTACCACACCTTTAGAAGGCATATCCCCTGTACTTACAAGGGCAATGTCGCTAAATAGTCCTAAAATAGCTCTCTCACAGCGCCCGAGCGCTACAGTTGCTCCGCCAGCAACACCATAACCCTTGAAGATCTTCCACCACCTTGGAAATGTCTCACAGCCCTTGTTTTAGGGGTTCAGGCCTAGAGTTACAAGGCTTATAGCGGGCGCAGTACCTTAAGCCACACCCTGGAGTCCGCTAAGACCCTTACGCGAGCGTAAATGCCCTGTAATCCCGTCACTTTATGCCGCAATCTTCGTACATCGTCCACACCTCCGAATCCGCCGCGAAGACGTAAATTTTGAGAAGGAGTTCTTTACTATCGAAAGAGCACACAGGAATGGCGGATAGGTAAGTGGATTCCATTCCCCTGCATTTTCACAGTAAATTGGCCGTGGCCGAAGGTACAGGGGCGTGGGCAACAGTAATATCCAGAAACCGTAAAAATTCACACGGGTTCATTCTGACTAGTGTCCACACAGAACCAAAACCAAAACCAGGGCGACAGGAAACTGATGTTGACTACGGATGATGAGGGAAATTGATCTGCTTTGTTTCGCACCCCGAGCAGAACTTGGTTGCAGGACGTTCGGGAGATGATCCGAATGATGTAAAGTGATGCGGTTTTAACGTATTTGGTAATTTCAAACTAAGACGCGAGATAAGAATAATGCCTGCTTATTCTCAGCCTTCCTCCTCTCACCCTACATTTCCTCATGCGCTTTTGTGAACACGAAAATTCCGTACGTCAATCCCTTTTTGGCGTTGTGGAGGCGCAGGATACGGAGAAGATGCCGAGTAGGGCTACCAAAGACCCACAGCCAACTGATGTTGACACTGATAGTGGAAGCTGAAGAATTTGTCTACCTCGTCTTGCACCGCGGGCAGATCTTTGGTTGCAGGCTGACCATTGTTGAGAGGTTCGGAAAGAATGTAAAGTGGCGCAATTTAGTGTATTTTGTCTTTTCAAACTTAATTGAGAAATGAGAGTCCGTACGTTCTCAGCCCGCATTCTTCCGACCTACATTTCCTCATGCGCTTTATCTGAACACGAAAAGTCCGCACAGCATGAAGGCGCAGCATCTTACGGGTAGCAGACGAAACCGTGCAGCGCTATCAATGGCCCCAGCTGGCTGGCCAACAGGAGCTGCAGGCATCGAAATGAAACTCGGTAGAGAAGATTGTGATTGGCAACGCTTCCAGAACTTTCACCCAGGGTGCATTAAAATCCTCTCGATGCCCTGCTGCCTACGTGTCGTAGGAGCATATTGACGCTAATCTGGAAAGTGACACCTGAAAATCGCATTCTTCCACCTACGTTGTTGAACTTCCGAAACAGAATCTCACATGAAGATCACAACTCCAATTGATCTCGGTTCTATCTTGAACCACTGTGGCACAGTTCGTTAACGATATATCGCAAGTTCAAATTACGGAGCTGGTTCCCTTGGGCTCTGTTGACGGGATCGATTCCCCATCATTTCATAGCTCAGCTTTGAACTCACTTATTCCTTGGAAGGAGAACTCTTGGTTAGCACCAACCCCCCTCATGGGAGACGTATATGGCGTAACTGTACTCCACGATCCTGGCCAGCAAACCAGATTTGAGTAAGCGCTCCAGGCTCTCTTCTTACTTTGCCGTAACACAGATCTAATGCCTCCAGCCTCGTTGCTATCCATGGCATCAATGGTCACCCGTTCAAGACATGGACGCATCAAAACGGCGACAACTGGCTGGAATACCTCTTCTCGGATTTGGCAGACACCCGAATTATGACGTTTGGATATAATGCTCAGGTGTTCACATCAAGCAAGGGTTGCGTGTCAGATTTCGCAGAACAGCTGCTACAGCATTTAACAAGCATTAGGAGATCAACGGATAGCATCGTAAGCTGCTTTGGTTAATGTATCCTGACTCTAAAGTCGCACTACATGCTAATGAGATCAAGGAGCGACCGATAATATTTGTGTGTCATAGTTTAGGCGGCCTTGTCGTCAAAAAGGGAAGCAACTCCAAATTGATGCAATCAATATGCTAACAATTTATTTGCAGGCTCTCTTATTAGCACAAGAAGCGCACGATGCGAGCGCTATCAGAAGAGCAACTCTACTGGTGGTTTTCATGGGTACACCTCACAGAGGCTCTCAACTGGCGTCTTATGCCGACATTGCAGTTACATGTGTCAAGGCAGTAGGGTTTAAGGCAAACACAGTGAACCTTCTTCAACTTAAACTGGACTCCGACGACCTTGAGGATTTAGGTTCACAATTCGGGTCACTTTTACAATCAGAGGGACTGAAAGTGCTGGCGTTTATGAACTTAAACCTATGAAGATTGCAGGGGTTACAGATGTTGTGGTAAGTTACGTCAATGTTATTCTACTAAGAACATATGCATTGAGCTAAGATTCGTGCATATAGGTAGTACCTAAGGGTTCAGCAAAACTGGGTTTAGGGCCACCCCTAGAAACTATAATTCCCGTGGACGCAAATCGTCGTCAGATAGCCCAATTCTCCAGCAGGAACTGCAAGCAATATGGGATTGTTAGGTCGAATCTTGCATTCATCCTATCATCACAAATCCAGACCTCACGAAATGATAGTAAGAATCCAAACGAAGTTTTCAACCCCTTCCTCTACTGAAACTTCTCATTTTGTGTCTGTAGTTTCAGAGCCCAAATAACATCCAGCATTCATTTGTTGGCCTGCCGACGCTAACAGTTTATTCAGGTAACTTCTCAAAGGAAGCTGGATGGAATGAGATCCTACTATGGTTGGATGCGCTTCGAAGCCAACCAGGAGCAGTTCTAAAAAAAGAACGCGCCAACGGAACGTGCAAATGGGTCCATGAAAAGGGTTCCTATGAAAAGTGGAGAATCTCAGAAGGCTCCGATAGGCTTTGGCTAATTGGGAAACCAGGTACTTTAATGATTCAACCTCCTAGCCCCTTGAGACTTAACGACCTGATCTAATCTTGTCAATTTAGGAGTCGGCAAGAGTCAAGACCGTCTTATCAAATTATATTTCAGAAACACTGAAATCCCAAAACGGCAAGGTAGTCTTTACTATACACTGTCACTCATATCGATCATTGAATGATCCGGTACACATTCTTGTTCGGGATATTCTTTTTCAGGCTCTTCAAACTCCAGTCTTATCGGCCAGGGTCAAAAAGCGACTTCTAGATCTCAAGTCCCAAACTAACGCCATGTCGGATCTTGCCCTCGAGACCCTTTTGGAGGTAGTCGATGATATATTCCGTGGCAATTCGAGCCTTTACCTAATCGTTAATGGTATTGATGAGCTCAATCAACAATCCTTGGAGCTGGAGTCCTTCTTGTACAAAGTGGGAACTCTCTCGGAACTAGGAGGACCTTGTAAGGCGCTGATCGTGAGTCGCAACGCTCCGTTATTGGAAAAGCTGCTTGCATCCTAGAGGACAATGACAATATCCAGTCACGATTCACTGCGTGATATCACTATTTTCTTGGATCAAAAGCTCGATGGCGCAACTCATCTAGGGCATCGGCGAGACGAAGTTATCCAGAGGCTGGTTAACGGGTCGAAGGGCTTATTTCTTTGGGCAGATCTTGCTGTGAGTGAGCTTGACCATTTGAGGACCTGGAACGAGATTTTGGCGCTGCTTGAGAATGGAAACCGTGGTTTGGACTCGACCTATGCGTCTATTATCAAACAATTGGACACATCCTCTGAGGGACTTTGCCGGATTCGAGCCAAAGCTCTTCCCCTGGTTGCGGTTGCATGCCGCCCTTTTCGTCTGGAGGAAGTTCATAAGCTTCTTGCGGTTGAGGTTTCCAAAAAAATTGTTGATCCTGGAAATAGACTGCTGGGCGGATGGAGCACTTTGTCTCTAGCCTGCGGGCCTTTCCTCCAAATCAATGAACTCGGCATCATAGAGCTTATCCATGTGTCCGCCAAGGATTTTCTGATGTCTCACCCATAGGCACTGTCTTTAGCACGCGATAATCTCATAGGTGGCTCAGCTAACATAGAGATGGCGTGCATATGCCTCTCATATCTAAGTTTTGCTGTCTTTGGGAGGCTTCCAGGGGAGGAAATCGAAGCCATGGATGTCAACAGTCTCACCAAACAATACCCGCTACTAGAATACGCTTCAAATTTCTGGTCAGGTCATTTCCTAAGGTCTGAGAAGATAACAGCTTTACAATTGACTCTTCTAGAGCAATTTCTCAACTCACCCTGCAGTGTCACATGGATGACAACCTTCTACCCGTACTTCTGCCAAAAATTGGGAGAAAATCACAGAAAAATTTTCAGATCTCAACAATCTATTATCGCTAAGCTGAAACAGAAGCTGCGAGTCTCTGGAAATGTTGACCCAACTCTCTATAAGCTTTGCATGGAGAAGTTCGACCGAATCTTGCTAGAGTCGGTGCAGTACTCTTTGCGGATGGAACAATTTGGCTCAGGCCCGCTCGCAAAAAGCACCCTTGAAAAGAAACTACGACTTGCGGAGTGCTACTCTGTTTATGAGATAAAGGCAGCCAAGGAGATTGCTTCCGAAACACTTGAATCTTCGCAGGAGCTCCTAGGCCGTATGGAACCCCTAACCCTGGAACTCCAACACACGAAGCTTCGTACAGAAATGCATATTCAGCAAAGGAGCCCGACAATAGATTCCCGCGATCTCATTCCGAATTTCATCCAATTAGTCGAAGATCACACTAAAGTGTTTGGTCCAGACCATGTTAGAACCCTGGACTGTCGCCATGGCCTTGCGCTGATGCACTTCAGACGCCGGGACATTGCAAAGGCCCAATACCTCCTAGAACCTGTCTATCGAAAGATGGTAGAAATACTGGGTAGCACATCACGGGCGACCCAGTCAGTAGCCAACAACTTAGCATCTTGTGCAAACATGCAACAGCAATGGGACTACGCGGAGAAAATTCTTCAAGCCATTCCAGAGCTTACGAAAGCCGCTGCCGAGCCTTTGGAAATCGATATTACCGGTTTTCATGCAAACACTCTCCATGCTTTATCCATCCTGGCAGCTATCCTTGCCGCTAGAGGTGAAGATCAAAGATCAGAAATACTACACCAGCGTGTGATTGATGGCTTCACGGTTCTGGAAGGCCCAAAGGCGCACAGAATATATGAAAGTGCAATAAACAAGGGCCAGGCCCTACGAGACCAGCACAAGTACGGCCTTGCTCGAAAGCACTACCAAGAGTGGTTGAAAAGGTCAGATCAGCATCTAGGTCCAGAATCAAAGCACTCTCGTGAGATACGAAAAAGGATAGCTGACTTGGACTCCAAGGAGAAGAAATGGAGGGAAACAGCGCAAATCATGAAAGTTCCTATGGTTCAAGCTCTGCCCTTTGGACAGGGAAGGACTATGACTATATTTGTAGCTATTGCGATATTGATTTCGGTGGTATTTTCCTTTGGGGCTACCTATTTTAGGAAATAGACCTGCGCAGTTGGTTTCGAGCCTTGCGGCCATCGGAATGTTGGACGAAACCTTTAAAATGGGACACCTTTCTCAACTGCATTTGTCATGCAATCGCCCTCGTTCTTTCACAGCGACTCAATATCTAAACCACCTTACCGAGTACGTGCTTCATTACATGCTGAAAGCAACGGCAGGCAACTCCTCGCCAAAGCGCTATGGCTTGTACTCGGCGATGAAGGCTGGGGGTGCCTTCATCAATCACAACGACGCCGCGGACAAGCACAGCCTTGATAAGTCGTTCAGTACTGCAGAGGCGCTTTTCCGCGAGCGCTTCGGTCGCGAGTACTTGGTCTGCGTCGATCTTAGTTCTCTGAGCAAGAGCTGAGGCTCGAGAAAGAGCGATTTGTCAAGTACAGAGGCACCGCGCGTGTCAGGCTCGAAGTGCTTGATTTCCAGTGGAACGAGCCAAGAGAGCTCAGTCGAAAGAATGTCGAGAGGATGAAGGAGATCTTCCGAGGAGACAAGAGGTCATATGGGGGCATTTGTCGGCTGGGCCCTCGAAACCATATTCCTGCTGTGGTTGAGCAGTCTGACCTTGACGATGCCATCCTCGCTTCCGAGGTATCGGCGGAAAGATTGCTGAGTAATCCCGACAATGACCCGGTGGGGGTGAGCTGACTAATCCTGTGGTGATTTTCTGCAACGCAGCAAAAGACTGACCAGGTCTTATTTCGTCCCCACCTCCAAGACGAATATACCGTTGATAACCTTTGACTCACGATGCCTCTCTTCTCCGCCCTCACAGACTTCCTCAGCGCCCTCTCCCTCACCCTCTTTATCCTCATTATAGCCTACGTCGCCTTCCTCTGCTTCACCCCGCCGATCCAAATCCCCGATAACCTGAACGAAACCAACCGCAACAGCTTCGCAAACAACCTCCTTGTCTACTACGGTTGCAGCGCCATTGTCATGCTCATCAACATGTACCATGCTTTACTCTGTTTCACGTACCCGGCGCCTCCGTCAATACTCTGCCCGAATCCTTTCAATCTCTCCCCCAAACTCTTCACCTGGAGCCCTCACACAATTCTCTGCATCGCCCTTATCTTACTCTCGGGTCAAGTAATGCTGCTATGCTTCAATCAGCTCGGCCCTATCTCGAACTTCGGACTTACCGTGCCCAAAAAACTAATCACAACGGGTCTATACAGCTGGCTTCAACATCCTTACTACGCCGCTAACTTCGTTATATTCCTCAGCAACAGCGCGTTAATTCAAAGACGGGATGGCGTGGCTGCATGCTGGCTACCGAAAAGCATCGTTGATGGTGATAAATTTGGGATGTTCTTCCAGATTGGATATTTGTTCACGGTAGCCGTTGGATGTTGGGCGCTGGCTAAGAGGATCAGGAATGAGGAATCCATGCTGAAGAGAACATTTGGGACAGAGTGGGAGGAATATCATAGACGGACGAAGCCATTTCTCCCTGGTGTGATTTGAGGCAGCGTGCTGGAATGGTATCGATTATCCTTCCCTTGTGCAATGTCCGATGTATTGCTCCTCTCCTGGAAGCCTTCAAGTGTTGTTGGGACTTACTTCTTTATTCTCTCGTCTGACTAACTTGGGAACTAGCTACTTAGGCGGCGGCATTGGAGGGAAATATATTACGTATATCTTCATCATGTTGCGCCGAGAAAAGGATTTTTTTTTTGACAGCCTGGGAACCGGTTAGATACAATAAGATAGTTTGCGGGAAAGTTACTTTATTTAGGACGATCTCCTGAGGCCTTTTTCTAGGGATATATTCTTCCCATGAAGTAAAGCTACCTCAATTTTGGCAAGGTCCGTCTTGTTGTTGCGTGAATGATGTTCCTGAGAGCATTCTTCCTACAGGCACGTGACCAGAAATTTCAAATATCGGCTTCGCCTGCAACGCACCACAATACGAAGGTATACAACTTCAGGAGAATGGAGGGAGAGAATAGAGGGAGTTAAGTCCTTAGCTGCAATATCCCGGTTTGGAAACTGTATCAGGAGTACTACATAGGAGAAGGAATTTGGAGTCGCGTGCTTCAGGATACAACGAGCAATGGATTCTTGAGGGGCGGGTTAGAATATATTGGAGCATCCTAATTTATGATGTGAATTCATGATACGCTCTGTCTTACTTCCCGCCGCACATGCTACTTTTGGTGGTCAGCTGCGCCTCAGTTTCGGTATCCCTTCGTCCGGTGAGACATTACTAGCGTATCAGCCACAGGGGGCTCTCTGGCTTGGCTGGCGGGGCAGAAAATTATGTGGCTTCAGGAATTTTATTGGGTGCCACAGCTGCCCACGCTAGTAATGTCTCACCGGACGAAAGGCTACCTCTACTCCGGGGTGACTAAGCTCGTTTTAAGCCACGAAATCATTGATGCTTGCGTCTCCGAAGTCACTGAAGCAACAACCGTCCACACCCCATCGAAACTTGAGAGTCCAAAATTCCTAAAAACAATTGAGAAGATACAACTGGCCCCAACATGCTAGATCCATTCTACCCACCTCCGCCTATTCTGGTCAGGGCTATCCAACCCATAGCGGACCTATTAAGCTTGTCGACCCTTCCGCTTCACATTCATGAAGTTGTAATTGGATGGATTTGCTATCATCTCATTTACACAACTATATCACCTATCATCTCAACCTGGCTCTTCCCAGCAATCTATCCTCACCTCTCAGCGCGAACAACAATAAGCTGGAATGTACACGTCACGTCCTTTATACAATCCTCGCTCATAACGATATTCGCCCTGTTCGTAATATGGAGTGACGAGGAGAGAAGTGAGATGGATTGGGCAGGGAGGATATGGGGATATACTGGAGCTGGAGGAGTAGTTCAAGGGTTTGCCGCAGGGTATTTCTTGTGGGATTTAGTAGCCAGCACAATGCACCTCAACGTGCTTGGTTGGGGCTCTTTAGCACATGCCGTCAGTGCATTGCTTGTTACTAGCCTAGGATTTGCAAGTTTTCTCCCTTTTACCCCATCATAACAGCTTGATTTTCTACTAGTCTAAGAGCGTTTGGCTGATTTATAATATAGCGTCCATTCGCAAACTATTATGGCCTCAACTTCATCCTCTACGAGATCTCTACCCCGTTCTTGAATATCCACTGGTTTTTCGATAAGCTCAACTTGACCGGGTCTCGTGTGCAACTATACAATGGCATAGCCCTTCTCACAACCTTCTTTGTATGTCGAGTTCTATGGGGGAATTACCAATCTATCTGCATCTATTCGGATGTGTGGACTGCCTTACACACACCAGGGTTCTATCCTCAGATTGTGAAGGACAATTCTATATTTGCCTACCGAAATATTCCAGGTTCGAGATCGAACTCTGAGTATGGTTTTGGCAAAATGGGCCTACCAATGTGGCTCGTGTATGCGTATCTGGGAAGCAATACGATATTGAACTTTTTGAACATATACTGGTTTGCGAAGATGATTCAAGCTCTCAGGAAGCGATTTCAGCATTCAAATTTAAGCATTAAGAAGGAGAGGAATTCTGAGGTAGACATCGGGCAACATGTAGATTAATTGAGAGAAAACTGTGGGTGGGTGATAAAGGAAGGCTTCAGGAGACGTTTGAAGAAGAGACTTTGCTCGTTGCAATGAATCCGATCTCAATACCGATTCGGTGTTCAAGTTTGCGTGCTCGATTGATCATATTCAAAATATAAATTTACTGAGTTTCTTTGGTCTGCTAAGGGATATCTTGTCAAAAGGAGAAGTATAAGCAATAAGATCCATATACGCCATCACTTCCTTGTGTCGCTCCTTCAATTTGAGATCCAATCCATATACGAAGTACTGCGTTCGCCTCCATATCAAAGCCATATCCTCCTCTGATACTCATCCAGCAAGCCAAGCATGGGAAGTGTGATCACATGACTGACCAATGAGGTTTTAGCCTTCTGTCAAATTCAATATGAGTGAACAAGGCCATCGGTCATTCCCCTTAAAAATGAGGAATAATTTGTGTCCAGTCAGGAGTTCTGTAGGCCGCAATTGGCAGCTGCCTAATGCTGATAATTGCTTCGACAACCAGAAATATTCTGGCAAAAACGTAAGCTATTCCGCAGATCGAACAAAGTGACCCTAAGATGAGGTAGCTGGACCAGTGTGCCTGACGCGCTAAAACCTTGTCCCAGTACGCATCGATCGCTTTCGACTCGTGGGCAAGTAAATTTATCACTAGCCATAGCAAGGCAGATGCGGCCATGTAGATGGACGATGAACGCCACATCCACGCTTCGACATTTGACGGGAAGTAGTCGTTCCACGCAGCAATGTGAACACCTCCGTAGGCCATGCTGGCAAACCATAGCACCATAACCATCACGAGACCTGCGGTTCCTCTCAGAAGGTCCTCACCTGGCCAATTTGTTGCGGACCACGTCACAAGTTCCTCGGTCATAGGCTCGAACCAGTCACAGCCATCCTTTTTTGCCTCTGTATTACATCTCGTAGCGAAGCGTTGTCTTATCGCGGGATACATTCTCACAGCATTAGCAGCCAAGCGCCGTCGATTAAGCTACATGGTGCTTGGACTGTGAGCCTGCTCCGATCTACCTGAAGAGATAAAGCCTTCTGTTGGACTCAAGGGGCGTGGACGAGGTCCAAAATAGCTCGAGTGGAGGCCATTTCCACACTCAGGAATCGATGTGCCAACCACATCGCATATTTGACCGGAGATACTTATGGAACCTTGGCTCGCAGTATCGATAGGATTCTTTTCGTTCTTAGTGTTGTCAAGTTTACCTTGAGATCGAGGCGTAAAGAGTGCAAGAGCTGATAGTTCTGGGTCGACCCAGGTCCGCCGAAGTATCCCAGCATGAGTGCCACTCCACCCACTAACTTGGCTGCTCATGTACATATACGCACACAAAGGCTCGACGCAATCCCCTTCGAGCTTCGTTGATTCGTGTACCAATCGGGGTTTATGCCACCACAAGATGTAGATGACGAGCGCACAAAGGACATGTCCCAAGATATTGACTTCCAGTAACGTTACTGGAAGACCAAGCACAACCCGTGCAATAACTTGCACCAACATCCATCCAACCTGGAGACAGACCAGGAATTTCGCCAAACCATCAGCCTTGCTCTTGTCAGCAATATCATCCTCCTGAATGTTGGGAAGATGGCCACATCTAGCCAGTAATGCAACACCGCGAGCCGACAGTGTCAGACGTTGACTGCCAGGAACGAAAGGCAAGCCCCCATCTGCGGAAGAGACATCCGCCTCGATGAAAAAGCCACCTATTCCTGCATAGAAGCTGTGCACCATCGTCCACGGGTAACTTGACTCCATCGATGCGGATTTGGTTTCCAGTGATATATCCTATGACTGGTGAGCATACTTTACAGATAGTGACGGCCAGTATCGATATCTTGAACTACCTTGGCTCGATTCTCTACTTCGTCTCTTCGTGGTGGCATCAGGATCTCAGCCTGTCTCTTCACTTCTGCATGCAATTCTTTCGCTGAATTGTACTGCCTCCAAGCCGCGAACACCACCAGCTCTGGGCCAACAACTCCTATCAATCCCCATTTCAAGTGTCTCATCAAGGTTTGTGCGGGTAGTTCGTCGTGTGGAGGAATATTGAGATGCATCGCAGACCATACACACAACCCCAAGGTAAGCAGGCAGGAGAAGACGAGAGAAATCGTCCCTCTGCCGGTCGGATCCGAGACCCAGCCTACGGTAGAAGCTGTGGCGTTACTGGTAGCAATAGCAACTGGTGTGCTCGCTGAGAGGATAGACATGGCGATTCCACAAGATAGATCTGGGGTTTTATGCGGATGGTGTTGTTTAGTATTGGAAGTCTAAACATGCGATAATGATGAGGAGAGCCAGGCGACACTGAGAACATTCTGTAGTAGATATGAGACGCTTCAACCCCCTCTCATTGACTTGCGCCATCCTGATATACACAGCTAAAAGACGGATTCCCTGACCTTGCTGCGAATCCGCGTCTGGGTTCGTAAGCCGGCGCCCCGATCCGCTCTCACGACAAGGGCGCTATCGGCGTTAGAGAATGGCTGCAGAAGTGGACTGAACGACTTGTTCACCATAATTTGAAACCATATCCATGTTCATCTTCCAAAGCTTGCCATTTTGTTGGGTTGGAGGAGGGACTTGCGTCCCAAGAGTTCGGATGAGAAAAATTTCCGTTTCGAATGGTTTACGGAAAGCGGTAAGGATCAGATGCACCAGCGGAACTTTTAACTTACGACTTACCCCCCCGCCCCTAATTAAATATAACAGTGGATCAAAGTGCAGGGGTTTTTTTGTCTGGCAACTGGACCGTGCCAGGCTGGTTTTGTGGGGACCTACTATTACATTTATTTAGGGGGGGAGAGTATGACTTATGACTTATGACTCAGCACGCGCATGCTTCTGGTGCTTTACCCCTGTGACGGCGGGATCGAGGCAATGGTACAAAGGCTCAAAGATCCAGGAAAATCCCATGTATTGAGAATACTAAGCTAAGGAGAAGAAGGAGAGAGAGAAGGAAAGGGGATAAAAGGAGGGAAATACTAGCTAAAACCACTGAAACGCCGGCTAGCTAGGTGAAACCAGTCATGTGATAGCCACCCCCCTTTGGCCCCCAGCCAGCGCCGTCACAACCCCACCAAAAATCGCCCACATACCACGCCCCCTCTCCCTATGCCTCTATTACTACTTAGAATATTACTCTCTCTTTAATTCTTATTTATATATATAGGAGAGAGGGGTGGGCGGGGGGTGGGCGGGTGAGGAGGGCGAGCAAGCAAGTTAAAAGTGAAAAGTGAAAAGTGAAAAGTGAAGAGTGAAAAGTGAAAAGTGAAGAGTGTAATGTGTGTTAAAATGAAGCTTGATTTCTTGTGTTTTCTATGAAAGCTCCAGCTTCCTTAAAACTCTGGAAATTACGTCCCCACTTAAAAGTGGACCACAGAGCGCACGGCGCCCTGATTTCAACAATGTGAAATGTGAAATGTGAAATGTGATGAGGCATGCGAGATTGCGAGAGGAAGCCTTATAATTACAGGCTTCTTATCGCTAAATTTTAGGGTAATAGTCGCTAAATTATTACTAAAAAATTGGTACGTAACTGTTTTATACTATAGGGTGCGGCACAGATTTTTAGTAGGGTCCCCTTATTTTGCACTTACCCCCTTCCCCCTACTTCGTATATCCCCCCTCTCTTACCCCTATACTTATAGAGAGAGAAAAGAATTAAAGACAGTAAATATTTTAAGTAGTAATAAAGGTATAGGGAGAGGGGTATAGTATATGGGCGTTTGCGATTTTTGGTGGGGTGAGCACGTCCCGTGCCGAGTCATAAGTCATAAGTCGTAAGTTACTGTAAAAGTTCGCTGGCACATCACGTCCTTACTCGTTACGGCTTTCGGTAGCTGATGTGCGCACAAAACCCCAATAAAGGTGAAACGACAACTTTCCAATAACTCTCCATCAAATATTCTCACACCAGTTAATACACCAGGTCGGAGTTATGGCATCTGAATCGATATTACAGTCGCGCAAACGGGCCTCCCCTCGCCAAGAAGTTAATATTGAGCAAGTCACCATCAAGGCTTGCCCCAGCCGACCTTTCCAGGTTGACGAGATATCGAAGGTACAGGCAGGCAGAAGAGCCCGACTTACGCTCTTACTCTGGCACGAGCTGGGTGAGTACTTTCCATACAAAGGCCGCATCTCCCTCGGTAGAGTAGACAAGCTGAACAAACTGCTCTGAAGCGCCGTGGCAACAGTTAGTCCTTGTGTTTCAATAATCCTTCAAGAAAATGCTCAAAACTCAGCAGAGATAATGAATTCATCATCTCCGGCTACCGGTAGGTCACCCAACACTGCTTACATTCAAGGACCATGATTCATAATGGCACAAACAGTCCTGCATCTGGATCTTTCCGCCAATCCATGAAAAGCTTGAGACACATACATAACGAAACAGGTACGTACCTCTCTTTGGACACTCCCCAGTGATCTAACTAGATTAAAAACTTTTAGTGAATATATACTCCCACCTGTTCGGGGCGGTCCTCTTCGTCACTCTTCCGTTTTATGTATATGCCAAGGTTTATCCTCGCTATGTCAGCGCTCAACTGGGCGACATCATCGTTTTCTCCACTTTCTTCTTTGGAGTGGCCATATGCTTCTTTCTCTCGGCGTCGTATGTCCTTCAATACTATGATTCTCCATTCCCCCATTAATAGATGGGATGTTGCAGCTTCCATATTGTGGCGAACCTTAGTGAGTGTGTAGCAGCACGAGGAAATCAACTTGATTATGTAGGTGTTGTGGTTTTGATGTGGGGATCCACCATTCCTTCCATCTACTATGGGTTTTACTGTGACCCAAACCTCCAGGTACTATACTGGTTAGTGGTCAGTGACTATCTCGTTTCATCTCCCTCTTCTTCTCCGAATATCTGAGGGGTTAAGAACACGGAGGCTAACAAACTGCGTATGTAATGCGCACAGCGGTACAGGTCACCATATTAGCAGCTGCTTGTGTTGCTGCAACTCTCGATCCACAATTCCGCCATCCGCGTCTTCGGCCGTATCGGGCAGCGATGTATTCTGGCTTGGGTCTTTCTGCGATCATATTCATCAGTCACGGGGTTGCGATTCATGGCTGGGAGATCCAGAATCATAGAATGAGTCTGGGCTGGATGGGATTGATGGGTGGATTAAACCTCATAGGCGCGTCAGCTTATGCCACCAGGGTTTGTTGCTCACCTCTTTCGAGTTACATATTTTGACCTAGTCTAGATTCCGGAAAGATGGTATCCCCGGAGACATGATATATATGGCAGCAGTCATCAGATTCTCCATTTCATGGTTATCTTCGCTGGACTGACACATATGATCGGCTTGCTGAGTGCATTCGATTATCTGCATACTCAGATTAGTCCCTGCACATAGGTGGAACATTGGCTGTGGGGAAGATGACTTTGACCTATGCACATTTATGAGCGTCGAGCTCGCCAGTAGACTCATACTTCCGCGGGGAGTATAAGTGACAGGGAGAGAGATAAAGCGTTATGTCGATAGACGAATTCTCTCTCAAAGTCAAAGAGGTAGTCAACCAACTTTCTTCCTGTGATACTAGACCGTTTCCAGTATGGTACCGAGATTTCTTCATAGCAACAGTATTGTCGATTGTAGATACAGGATATCTGGCGCCACTGATTGAGAAAGAGAAGGAGCATGTACAGTGCCCTAGGATGATCTTAGAGGATAGTGCTGCCAAGGGCTTCAAGAACGCATTGAAGCATAAATTCAGTAAGCTGTTTCGGCCAATGTCGAGATGCTGAGTTGTTCTGACCGTATATGACTCTGTAGAGGTCTCCTAGAGACTTTTGAGAGCTGACATGATCAGCGTTGAAGTCGATGGGTCGGAATGATACATTACCAGTTGACATCGCCTTGTTGAGTTACATCAGAGCTGCCGGAGCCATTGTCATTATTGAGATTCCGCAAGCTGAATTCCTCAACACAACATCGAGCAAGAGTCTCTGTTCAAAGCCCTTACTGGCTGGATGCGCCTTCGGTCAGCCTCGAGGCTCGTCCGGAAACTCGCATAGACAATTCTGTACTTCGAACTTCCCACTTCGGCTGGGGGTCGTCATCTCGACCGTCCGCCTATAGAGTACGTGATCCGAGAATGGAGAGTGAAGGAAGAGAGAACATACCAGACAATGAGCACATGGTGTAGTAGTCACCTATACCCAGTTTGTGCAGTTGTAAGTTAGCCAGTACTTGCAGCGCTACTTGTAATACCCTCCTGAGCCAGACATTTTGGACAATGAGATGTGCAAGAAAGAAGACTCAAATAAATGATCAACTGGACAGGACTCTCACGTTACGGAGGGTATACTTGTAGTCCCCATGGACATTCGACCTGATGATGGCTCCCATTCCACAATATTTGGAGCAATTGGCTAGGACGTTGACGAATCCACTCAGTAGGGCTATCCGTTGAGCTGCAGCAGCGCCCGCCCTTCCATGATCAAATATACCGCAAAATTGCAGCAAATCAGAAGCCTTCGATCAGGAATTAGAGATTATGATTTGCTTAAAAATGTCGCTTACATCGTAGCAGGGCAAAATAATATAGCGAGATTAAATTTGCTAGGGTATCCAGCCACAATGGGTTGTCCCAGCTAGGCCATATTGGCCTGGCCCCTCCATTTTTATATTATAAAGCTTCAATTTTACCATAACGCGTCTGCAAAATGGACCATCATCTCATTCTCAATGTCCCTACTCCCAAAGCTAAGAAGCAAACGTCAAGGAATAACCGCTTATATATCCAGACCTTATTCCACTACGCTGGCTTTACCGTCGATTAAATCCTCCTTCAACTTTACAATCTTATGCGCCGACAAGTCGAATGCGCGCTTGAAAATCCTCTTATACCAAAGAAGAATTAACGTGGGCGAAAACCATTCCTTAATATATCTCGGCAAAAGCTCCTTATCGATTAGGTATATGCATTAAAAGTCTATTGTCGAATCCCGTAAGATAAAATACCATTTATATCTGGGTAAGACTGTGGAGTTAATGCGATTCGGGCTGCTTTTAAGAAAGGCTTTGCAAAGCAAGATGCAAGGATAAGGCCACTAATCTCTGAGAAGAACCGTATTCTTTGTCTTGAATTCGCGCGAGAGCATATTAATTGAATAGACAAGCAGTGGGCAAGTGTCTTATAAAGTAACGAGACGTGGGCTATACCGGGAAAAAATAAGAAGACAAAGATTATACGGCGAATTGGCATGTCAGAGCTCTTTTACCTGAATTACATAAAACCATATTAGTAAAGAAGAATCGGGTAAATATTTTGGGGATATATAAGTAAGTTATACGGCAAAGGGCCTTACTTATTCTGGGAGAAGAGCTAGGGGAATATTAACTCGGCCTCTTATTGCGAGTAAATCCTTTATTTATTTAAGAAGTATATGCAATTGCATTCTAGGCTCGTTTTTTAATAAGATAATATAGGAGAACACGCAATTACTATAATAACCTTATAATTTATTTACTATAATATCTACCTGATTAAATAGCTTCCCTACTCTCTAGATCTTAATTCAATTGAGATTATATGAGACAAGCTAAAGAATTATATCCAAGCAGGAAACCCTTTTATTTACAAGTGTAATAGGCGCACGTAATAAAGCATGAGTGAATATTAGATACCGTGAATTTGGTTTCTTATTTTAGGTAATCCTTGCATCGGGATCGCACAAATCGCGCAGGATTATATTTCCTAATTAAATAAAGGGCTTCGTATACTTGGCTAAGCACTAGATGTTACAATTCAGCTTTCCACCTGGTCAGCTGACATAATTGTATAACTGGCATTACCCATATCTCGTTGCCCATATCCCGCCATGTCCCGTTACTTCCAGGTCACATGACTACGCACGTAACACGGCCGCATTGCTAAGGAAACATGCTTGGAATGCACTAGAGATATTTAGAATACTAAGCCCCTTATAGGCTAGTATATTATAGAATATATACTTTTTCTTATAATTTCCTATATTCTAGTTTTTTATTCTTTAGCTATAAATCGTCTTTATAAAGAATCTTTTATTTTATTTTTTAAGTATTAAATATTATATTTATAATAATATTTAAAGCTTACTTTTTTAAATATTATAAAGAATTTCAAATAAATTAATTTATAATTATTAGAAATAAAAGCATTACTAAAATAATAAAACCTCAGAAATATAAGTAATAGGCTTTAGAATAATAAAAGCAAAAGCTTTAAAACCCTTAAAAAAAATTAGATATTTAAATCTTTATAAATATATATTAGTAATATATTAGAATTTTTTTTCGAAAATTCGAAAATTCAAGAATTTTATATAAAGGCTATTCTTTAATTAAATTCTAAAATAATAGATATTTATAAACTAGTAATTTAATTATTACTTTTAAGCTTTATTTTATAATCTTATAAGCTTTATATTAATAATAAAATTATTAAAAAATATATTAAAAAAAAGTATAATAAATTAATTTTCTAAAATATTATATAATTCGAAATAATATTAACTTTTATTAAGGCTTTTAAGGCTTTTAAAGCTTTTATTAGTTTATTTTATTTCATTAATAGTTTTTTTTATATTAAATATCTTATTAATATTTCTAGAAACTTTATAAATAAATTTATAAAAATAAAGCCCTTTATTTTTATTATAAAACTTCTATATATTAAAAATCTTATTATTATTAGAAAATTATATAAATAGGCCAAGAAGCCTAATTTCTTATTTAAAAATATTAATATAATTATTACTAATTATTAAAAAGAATTAAAAAGCTATTATATATAAAATTAATTATAAAAATATTTAAAGCCTTTTTAATAATATTAAGCTTTATAATACTAAACTCGAAAAGAATATTAAGTATTATATAGCTATAATAAATCGATATATAATAACTTTAATTATTTTAGCTTTATTTATTTCTATTATTTTCGTTTTTGTTTTTTAAAATATTTTTTAAAAATTTCTCGAATTATTTTATTTTTATTTTTATTTAAAATTTCCTATATTTTATATTTTCTTTAAAGATATTAAAATTATTAAGCTTTTAAATTTAATTCTTTTTACTAGAAATTATATTATTTTTAATAATTAGTTAATTTAGATTAAAAATAAATTATAAAGTAATATTAATTTTTTTTTTTTAAAAAAAATTTAAGATTATTTATATTTCTAATAAATTTATAAGTAATATTCTTACTTTAACTAACTTTTATATTAATAAAAATAGTTTAAATTAGTAATATTAGCTTTTAAAGTTATAGAAATTAATATATATATATATATATTATTATTAATATAACTATTTTTTTAAAAGTTATATATATAATTATAAAACTAGAAATATAAAATATAAATAATAAAATATAAATAATAAAATATAAATAATAAAATATAAATAATAAAATATAAATAATACTAATTAAATAATTATATTAGCTAATTAAATTAAAAGCTAAATTATAATAATATTTAAAAAGCTAAGCCCTTTATAAGCTAATATATTATAAGATATATATTTATATTTATATTAGTTTTTTCTTTTTTAGTTTTTCTTTTTTAGTTTTAAATTATTTTTATAAGAAATTTTTTATTTTATTTTTTAAGCTTTAAATATTATAAAATTTATTTCTAAAAATATTTATAATAGAATTAATTTTAGAAAAATATTTATTATAAAATTAAAATTAGATTTTAAAAATTACTTTTAAAAAAAATATAAATTAAATATTCGAATTTTAAAAAGTTTTTTTTAATTTTTAATTTTTTTAAAATATTATATAATAGCTTTTAATAAATAATATTAAGTTTATTTTTAAAGCTTATTATATAAAAAAAATCTAATTTTATTTTAGAAAGTTTTTATTATAATTTAGCTTTTAATTTTATTAGCTAATATAATTATTTAACTAGTATTATTTATATTTTATTACTTTCTAGTTATATAATAATATATATAATATAATAATTTTATTATAAAAATATATTAGAAATATTTAAAAAGCTAAGTCTCTTATAAGCTAATATATTAAAAAAAAATTTATAGCCTTTTATATTCTAGTTTTTCTTTTTTTAGCTTTAAATTATTTTTATAAGAAATCTTTTATCTTGCTTTTTAAGCCCTAAATATTATATTTATAATAATATTTAAAGCTTTTTTTTTTAATTTTATAAAGAATTTCAAATAAACTAATTTAGAATTATTAGAAATATAAGTAATAGATTTTAAAATAATAAAAGTAAAAAGATTTAAAATTTTAAAAGAATTAAATATTTTTATTTTTATAAATATATATTAATAATATATTAGAAATTCTTTTAAAAACCTAAAAATTAAATTTTTTTATATAAAAACTATTTTTTAATTAAATTCTAGAATAATAAGTATTTATAAACTAGTAATCTAATTATTACTTTTAAGCTTTATTTTATAACTTTATAAGCCTTATATATATATTAGTAATAAAATTATTAAAAAATAATAATAAAAGAAAAATATAATAAATTAATTTCCTAGAATATTATATAATTTGAAATTATATTAACTTTTACTAAAGCTTTTAATAAGGCTTTTAAAGCTTTTACTAGTTTAGATTATTTTATTAATAGCCTTTTTTTAAATTAAATATTATATTAATATTTCTAGAAAATTTATAAATACATTTATAAAAATAAAGCTTTTTATTTTTATTATAAAGCTTTTATATTTTAATAATTTAATTATTATTAAAGAACTATATAAATAAACTAAAGAATCTAATGACTTATTTAAAAATATTAATATTATTATAACTAATTACTAGAAAAATATTTAAAAGGCTTTTATATATAAAAATATCTATAATAATAATAAAAGCCTTTTTAATAATATTAAGCTTTATAATATTAAACTTAAAAAGAATATTAAATATTATATAATTATAATAAATCGATTTATAATAACTTTAGCTACTTTTACTTTATTTGCTTTTATTATTTCTATTTTTTTTATTCTTACAAATTCTTTTCTAAAATTTCCCGAATTATCTTATTTTTATTTCTATTTAAAATCTCTTATATCTTATATTTTCTTTAGAAATACTAAAG